AAGTTGCTTTTGGCTTCACAAATTTTGAACTGTTTGTTTCTGAAAAAAAGTTTTAAATTTTGAAATTAACCTGAAGGCAGTTATCAATTTTAAATTATTCCCCTACAGCAAACTCAATCGCAAATTTTGTTTCATACATTTTAAGAACGACGTTTTGAAGCAGTGGCTCTCAACGTTGGAAATAAAATTTGGAAGCAAAACTAATCATCAGGATAAGTATTGTTTATACAATTATTTTTAATAAGAAGAAACTTTTAAAAAAAACTTTTGAAAAATATTAGAAAGCTTTAACAAATATCATTCTTTCAAATATTCACAAAAATTTGTTGAAATTTATAATGATTTAAAATTGGAACATAACTGAAACATATTCATGCTGATTAATTCAATATTGCAACTATTAAATAACTTAACTGCATGTTTCATAACAACCCCATAAAAAAATATTTCGAAATTAAGAGCAAGTGATGATGCAACATTAAATTTATTACACTACAAAATTTCAAAATCAGACAACTGACACCACCACCACCACCACCACCACCACACCAGCAGCAGCACAACAACCACATATCCACACTAATTAGATTGAGATATCTGCCAGACCTTCTGGGCATCTACATTTCTTTGAATTTGTAACATTCCTGTATTTCTAACAACTTTTAACGTAGTTGCTGATCAATTAGTTTTCAAAGTGCAAGTGGTGTAATTTTATTTCAGTTTGTCATTATTGTTATTTCCATTAATGAAGTGCTAATCATCCATTTCCACTTTTCAATCTAGCTTTCAAGAACGCAGAAAAAGCAAACTACGATCATTTTCATACTTGCACAAATTTTGCTCTCCCATAAATAAGTGAAACTTGTGAAAGACAGGCTAATTGTTCTATTCACGCTGTATGAACTACCCGATGAGGTTTCTATTTTGGAAAGAAAGGTCTTTTAAAACTCTGAAAAAATACTACAAACTTGAATGCATTTGATCAGTGCCAGATTCACATTTAATAAATGTTGCCAACACATGTTGTGTATTTTTTTTACATAACGAAACAATTTTAATAGATGAAAACACCGTTTTGAATTGGAAAACTGGCACAAAATAAGCAATAAGTGCAATGAGCAATAAAAAATTTGACTTGCCATCAAACTTATCAGTATCCGCCCTTGCACCCTTTAACATCTCCTTGCACCCAACCTACAACAAAAATTTCTTCATCAGCAAATTGAAGTGACTTTTCTCCAAAAGGAAGCATTAACTCGGTCTGAGTATATGTAGCAATGGTTGCCAAAAACTTAAAAAACTTTATAAACAAAATACATATAATGAATATCATTTGACACATTAAATATAAATAACTGCTTCCGAGACTGAATCACAATAAACGAAAAACATGAGGAAGTTGTAAGACAACGACGGCACGGCGAGATAAAATTTGTATTACTCACACGAAACTTTTCATAATGTGCACTTGAGCATCGTAAAGAAATTGTTTCGGTTCAATGTCTTTTTAAATGGTTGTGAAACAACTCGCATGAACGTTTCATCGACCTGGTAAATGCTATGGAGCATTATCTGAAATTATATATGCAGATTTGTTTTGCAAAATATATTCAGTGATATGCTCTTCTTTCCAGACTTTTTAATGCTGAAACAGAAAAAAACATAAACCAAAAATGAAGACCTCGTAGATGTATTTATTGCACACATGGATAAAAAGTACAAGCCTTTCTAAAACAAATTTTTTCTTACAATTCGTTTGAAGCAGAATACCTTTTAATTATCTCTAATCTTTAATAATAAATTTCATTGAAATATCTTTAAATGAATAGAACAACAATTATTAAATAATAAATTCGTCCATATTTTGCTCATTTTTTAATTTCAAAAAACATTTAAGTCTTTATTGATTTCATTTTACCACGTGTTTGTCATAAGAACGTTTAACAGTCTCCTCAGTTGAATGCTAGATAATGTTATTCACTTTTTTTAAAGTTTAGAATATTATCTCATGGTTTTTATCGTAACATTGATACATTGTAACGTTGATACATTGATACATTGATATTTACAATAAAGCGTTTGAACTTGGAGAAGTTAAAATTAATGACCTCCTACAACGTCAAGTTTTTTAACAATTTAAAAATTATGCTAATTGAGTTTTGCTGATGCATGATGTATCCCCGCTATATTTCAACTTGAACATAAAATTAGTGTTGTTAGCATTATTTGTTATTATCGCTTTGTAGAAAAATTTTTTCACATCAAAAACACTCACAGTCATATAAACTCGTTAATCAACTAAGAGAAAATGGTTGGGGAGTGATTTAACCGCAAATGTACACAAACATGCAGTGCATTAAGTCGAGCGTATTTATGTGCTTCTTAATTTGTGCTATTGTTTTGTTTATGGCATACCTCTGATAGAACCTTAATTAAGCTCTCTTAAGTAATGTTTGCTTGTCATAATGAGTAGTTCAAATTTATTCTAAAATATACATTGATTAATTGCTTTGTATAAATAATTCCCAGCTAATACTTAAATATAAACTGAAACTTTGATCCCAAATAACAGTTATCAGTAAAATATTGAAATTTTGCTTAGAAAGCATGAACATTTAAAATTTAGGATTTAAAACTTTGCGAATATCATTCACAGGCTCCCAAGCTGACTTCTGTTAGAGGGATTTGGTTAATTCATTGTTTATGCTGATTGAGTAAACCAACACATCTAGTCAAATGTTGCCATCTTTTGAGATTGTGCACCTAGTAGTTGTTGTTATTGATAGTTTGCACATTAAATCATATTGTTACTACGGTTCAAAAAGCTAAAATTTGATCAGAACATTTGCGCGTGAGGCGATGCAGCAGGCCATCAACTTAACCAAACCTATTCTATCCTTTTTATGTAGAAATCGAGAAATCGCGTGCTAAGCTCAGCGTTCAGAACAACTTGTTCGTGCAACTTATTTTGAAACCGATAAAATTTATGTCGTTTTGGTATTATGTAAACATTATAATAAATAATTGCAGGTGTTAAACTACATTTTTCATTGTTTCAGTAAGTGTTTCACGTGAAGGGATTGTTTTAATGAAACATATTTCAAGATTCATTATTTTTTCATCACAGCCACCTTGCATAAAAACTAACAAACGATAAACATTTACTACTGAACTCAGTACCTCATATCAACAGATTGGAGAAAGGTCTATTTAAAAAAATTTTGCTGAAAGTGAAGTTTCAAAAAGTTTGCGGCATAACATGAACGAACAGCTTTGCTCTTTGGATTGTCATACTTTTTATATTCTAAAAAAAATTCAACTGAATAAAAAACGATCAACCATATTTGAACAAAAAGTGCGAAATAGAAACAGATATGAAAAAAATAAAAAGCAACCAAATTATTATGTAGGAAATGTAAGGAATATGAAAAACAGTTTTTAATGAATGTTATGAACATCACTCAACTGTTGTGGTAAGAAATTAATGAAAACGTATCTAACTATTGGTTGTTAACAAATTTTAAATTAATATAGTTAATTACTTCAACATCTACAAATCAAGAATGAAATGGCGATTTCTTTGTCGTGTAATTTTATTTCATAGCTTACGGGCCCAGACACTCGCTCATTAAAAGCAAACGGCTGAACTCGAAAGATACAAAATAAGATTAGGATATGTCGAGGTGGCGACAAAGTATTTAATTAATACTTCTTAACTTTTGTGGGGTAGTTAGTGGCTAGTGGTTAAATATATTTCTCGCTAGTGGCCAACAGTGGTGTAGACGGGAAGGAATTAATTGGAGGTTTAAAAAAATTTTCTTTTCTTTTTGAAAAGTTTGTTATAGCTGTGAATATTTACACGGAATTAGTCGTTATTTTCGATTTTTAATTTATTAATTGAAACACAATTTTAGTTAATATTGAGTTTTTGGCACAGCAAGCCTTCAAACAACAAACATGACCAGCCTGCAACAATTTTTCCATTTATTTATTTATAAAAACCAAGCAAATATAATCCCAAATATCAACAAGCTCCAATTTCATCATTATTCATTTTTCAGTATTTAGTCCAATTTCAATCGGTACTATTTTTAGTGATACCAAATTTAAACAAACTGTATTTGTGAATAACAACGAAAGTACGGGTAGTTTTTGGTAGATATTTTAAAATGAGCACTATTTTTCACGACATTTCTGCATTAAAATATCATTGCGATGCTTTGATATAGTGATGTTTCGTTTTCAGATATATTAAGCCAGCAAATGATGGCAACATAAAATTTTTATTATTTGTATTGTTGCAAACTTTAACGCTCGCAACCACCATCACCGATGTCATAACTTCAAACATCTCCACATTTCCACCACCAGTGTTGTAGCTTACAACAATCGTCAAGTGTTCGTTATTCCGTAGATTCAAGATGTCCGATAGATGAATACAACTGCTTCGAACGCAAACTTTGTTGAACGTTGATTTGAATGTAAACAGTAATAGAAACATTTAAATAATCCAAGTAACTATACAAATCACATTTACTACTTCGCTTCAAACTGAATATTTGGGAATGTTGCCGGAAGTGAAAAAAACTTCCAAATTTGTTTCGCGCTTTTCAGAAAAACTGATGTATGTCAGCAGGAATCGGTTAAAATTGTATTGTCAAAAACAATTGGCGTCTTTATATCCTCTATTTATCCTCTTTTTATCAGTTTTATCCTCTATTTTAAAATAAATAATAATACTATAACCAAAATGAAAACTTAAATTACAGAAACAAATTTTTTAAACGTGAAAAACTTATTCTTCCAAAAAATCTCTTTATAAAATTTATTTGTGGGATTTAAGTTAACCATTTTTATGCTGTTTTTAAGAAAAGAAAAAAATAATGAATCGTTGTTTGCAACCATTGTTTAAAAGAATGTTCTAAAACTATGTAGTTTTTATATCCAAATAAATTGAGTAATGTCAGTCTTAATGGGTTAATTGGCGTAAACGTATCAATTCATTGAAAGTTGGCAAGCGAATGTCTGCTGGGGAGCGATGCATGGCGATGAGGACTCCGATAGAGGCGGGGACACATTGTCTCGCGACAGTTCCTGGTGCATGCAGCATCATAAAAGCATCTTAAATGCGAGGCTTCTTCTCTTTTTATGCCTTCTATCGCCTTTTTATGCCTATTTTCATTGTTATTATGCTTCATTTTATTATCATTATCATTGTATTATTGTTGTTATTATCATATTTAATTTTGTTAACGTGTTTATTTTTATTGTTGTTCCAATCATATTTTTTTATTGTTAACTTTTATCAATATTAAATGTCTATTGTCATTTCTATTATAAGCACGTTCAACCGGCGCTACTGAGCTTATCTTAAATGTCTTAATCATCCAGCCAATTATAAATAAATTCATGCTGCTTGGCGGACATCAGACATTTACATGCATCATATTCATCAGAGGTGGGCAAACTCTGGTCACAAATGTTGTACGTTCTGCTAACCTATAATAGATCATCATTCAGTCAATCAGCTCATTACCTACCATGTATTTGTTGTTTCTTCAAACAACTGCAAGCTGTTCACATTGATGTGAATTGTATTTTTTTGCACCAAAATTTTCAGGAGTCTGTTGGTTCGATTCCATGTACTGCAGATGCTAACTCTTCCTTTTCCTTGCTCCTGCAGCATCTTGTCCGATGCAAGTTTTTGTCAGGTTTTTTTTATTCTATTCCTTATCACCGTAACCGTATTTCACATGTTTTGATCTAACTTGTAAAATATCTTTCCTACATAGTAATGACAACAGAGCCACAACTGCTCCACTCAAATAAAGTTTTTTCTGTAAATCAACAGGCACTGTATTGATTCCTTGGTAAAGTAAAAAATCCAAAACAATGCCATTTGAAGATGATGCTACAAACTGTTTATCTCCACTGTAATCGGCTTTAAAGGAGATGTTGCTTGGCCGGAGCAGCTGCGGCAAACAGAATCATTTGTTCATCGACACTTCTTTGAAGTTTGACAACTGTAAACACTTTCGCCAGGTATATTCAACCATGGGTCTTACTTTCGAAAATTTTGTTTCCTCCGTGACGTCATTGTCAATCACCATTTTCAGACTAACGCCTAGCTTGAAAATGCGTCAGCTATGACCTAGACCTTCAAACTATCTTGCTTGCAGTAACTATCATACTATGGTACATTTTTAGTTGTTTTTAGTTGTGGCGAACCAATGCATGACGTCATTACACAAATACAAAAAAAATCGACGAATTTCAAGCGGTGTCGTGTTCAAACTGTTGCCAGTTTCACTCACGGATGTGACATCCGTGCAATTGGAAATTGAATTTACCAAAGTAACTTTGCATGTATTGAAATGAAATAGGGACCAATCATCCCTTTCCACAGAACCATCATCATTCTGTTTTCCACAAATGGTGATGGTTTTACTATGGCAATCCAACTAGGAGCAGTTAGTATGGACTAAAACTAAATCAAAATCAAACATTAATAGCTAAGCATAATATTAATAATTAAGCATCAATATCCTAATCAAACTTAAGGTCATAAACAAAGTCTTTATTAGCCGTATATATTTCAAGTCCTGTCATAATCTTAACAGCAAAATTGACTACAACGACATCAAACGGCAAGTTATTCCAGATTTAAAAGGTTGTTTGCAAAAAAATTTCTGTTGTTGTTGGATTTCTGGATACGAATTTTATGAACGGTGTCTTCCTCTGTTCCGTGAGTCCACATCCAATCTACTGCAGCTGGGGATCTTTTGTTTATTTTATTTTATAAATTTCACTCCGTATAAAATCAAAATGAATAGAAAAGTGGTTAAAAACTTGATTTTCTAAAAGAAAAGTTAAAAAAAACAATGATAAAACTACGCTACGAAATATCGGAAAACTGAACGAGAAACTAAACAAAGCTGAAAATGCAGAGATATTTCTTAATAATTGTGTATATACGCCAGTCTCAATCCTAATTTCAGATATAAGTATGAATATGAATGTGAGTTGCACGTGAGATTGTATGTTTTATTAATAAAACGTAAAAAAACATTAATGTGATATCGGTGAATTGAACAAAATAATTAAAAAATTGTTCTCATTGTTCGTTGAATATCATCGGAGTAAGTTTGTTTGCATTTAATTTAATTTAATACAAGATTTAATTAAATAAATTTTTATTTAATTATTTATTTATTAATTAAATTTATGTCCAGACCATTATTGTTGTGAATATCATTTGCACCAGTTTTTATGTTTCATGGTCGTGTTTGGACACTGGCGTCACATTTCTGCCTTGATAATAACTAAGCGATTGTTTCAATAACATTCTTCGAACATTTAGTTTCATTCCATTACTTGCATTAATTAGTTTGAAAATTTACATGATGATTGTGAATGAATTGTGAGTTAATAAGCAGATAAATAACTAAATAAATTAATAAATGAATGTTAATTAATTAACGTACAAAAGAATGATTGAAAAACAAATAAATAAATAAATAAACAAATTGTATATTTGGTTGAGAGTTTGTTGACCCGCTACTGCAACATGTACGTGCATATTATTGTGCATACAATTACGATGGCACTAATCTGTTGTTGTTTGAAACTCATTCTCTACATGTGTGCATGCTTGTAGCAAACTATTCTCATTTTTTATAGGCAAATAAATCTCTGAACGCGCATAGCATGTCACATTATTCTGCGTGGCCACAGTGTATAAAGAATGTACGAATGTTTCTGTTACGTAGGAACGCACGTATAATGCGTGTATAATGCGTGTATTTGTGTCTCGATGCATGTCCATAATCCTTCCTAGTGTTTTTGCATAGGTAGATTTCACAAACACAAACAGCGTATATGAACATGCGTGATAACCACGAATCACACACATTGCATATGATAGGCGTGGATCTCTTTGTATTCGATCCCAGTCACTGCAACAACAAGAGCAGGCGCCTTTAACGATTAATCTTTACTCTTTCTTAATTAATCTTTAATTAACCTTTAACAATCATCCGGTTAAACGTTGCTGGAGCATTTGCTCATCAAAAAAGCATTAAATTTCAAAGAAAGTTGGTGTGACGAAAAAAGTTTTCATCCATCGGTATTTGCCAAAGAAAGTTGGTGTGACGAAAAAAGTTTTCATCCATCGGTATTTGCCAATATCCTTGCTGTGAAAAATTTAGCATTTTTCAGTTTTCCAATTTTTCAAGTTTTTTCAGTTTTCAATATTCGGCATTGGATCTTTTACAGTTAGTTGAGCTTTCTGTAGTCTATGCATGTTCGGTTGTCACCGGCTACCTTTTCAACTAGTACGAATGAAGCAGCGTATGGAGAATTAGAAATTAAAATAACATCTTGTTGGACTAATTTGTTGACAAACCGAATTAGAACAAAAATGTTAATTAAATATCAATCACACAAAATTCAGCATAGCCACGACTAACCAGCTCGAAAATCTAACGACTGAAGCAAACGGCCTAACTAATGGTCTCAGTGGAATAGTTCAAAATTTAAAAAACGTTTCGATCGTAGCAATGATAATGAAATGTTGATGATGTTTGTGTTGTTGTTGTTGTTAATGATGATGATGATGATGATGATGATGATGATGATGATGATGATGATGATGATGATGATGATGATGATGATGATGGTGATGATAATGTTGATTATGATCATGATATTGACAATAAGGTGATAATAATAAAAGAAACAGGAAAATGAAAAATTTAAGAATGTCGAACTTAAAACGAGCTTGTTTTTTAAGAAAAGTAGCATAAAAATAATTTTTCAATACAGGTATCATGCTTAAAATACAGAATAAATGTATAGACGAGTGTAAAATTGAATATGCCCGGATAAAAATAACTAAATTTCCTGCAATTGTGAAACCTCAAAAGAGTGCAAATCGTGCAAGAAAGGTTTCTTAAAACATGAAGATGCAGAGAGTAACGAGAAACCAACATTGAACATCCACAAAAATATATCCACACTCCCCCCGCGAAACAAGCAATTACATCTGCTCACTTATAAATGGAAATGAAAAATTGCGTATGATAATTATATTATTTTATTATTTTATTTCAATTTCAACAAAACATTTAATTTGCTGGAATGTATAAAGAATATTGCAAAGCATCTACATGGGAAATTGAAAATTTTAAATGAAGAGTTTTTTAAAAAATTAATTTTTTTTACTTCCTTAAACTTTACCTGGTTGGATGATAATGGAAAATAATTTTATATTTTCATATTATAAATCACTATACAAGTTTGTTGGATTGTTTTAATTACATTGAGATTTATTTTATTAAATTTTGGAGTGGTTCCAGCCGCGCCAGACTGAAACATTTTAAAGGGTATAAAATAATTAACTTGTACCTTCGTGTATTTTTCAATTATTATTTTTCTATATAAACAAATGTTGCCAATTGATGATTGAGTTGGAGATTCAGCTGATGCACTTCATTATTTGTGCTGGGAGATCAGACGCGCTGACCCGATGAATATTTATTGAGTAGGAAGAGGTGCACGATTATCAATCAGTTCAGTGCACAGCGTGTCGTCGAGAAGAAAGTATTGAAAATATAAACTGTGGCAAAGCAGGAATAAATAAGATGAACTTTGTTTCAATGTCGTTAGGCGGATGTGCGTCCGAGCGAAGGAGTGCCAGCATGCAAGCTGATGCGAACCAGCACCGTCAATAATAAGTAACTCAGCATGGCGCTCAGAGGTGGACATGGGTTGGGTTAACCCATGGGTTGGGTTGGGTTGGGTTGGGTTGGGTTGGGTTGGGTGGGTG